CTAGAAACCACGTTCTTGCCACGAGTACTCGACTCCAAACGGCCCAAATCTATTCTATCCAATTTCATAATGTAAATAACACTTCAAGTAACTAATTCTACAATTAAGTTCTAAGCTAATACGCGGAATTATGTAAAATGACCAAAACACCCCTCGAGCACACATCTCGGAATCGGATAAAATTTATATTTTCAGAATCCTCTCACTCTCACGAGTCAAACCATATCAAAATTATCCCAATCTGATGTCAAATACCCAATCAAAACCGAATCTCTAGGTCTAAGAACTTTTCCCCCCAATTTTTACCAAAATTCCAAAATTAAAGGATGAATTTAAGAGAAGATTCATGGAAATTAGTCTAAACCGAGTAAGAATCACTTACCCAAGTCGCCCAGGTGAAAATCCCTCCAAAAATCGCAAGAACCGAGCTCTAGAAGTCAAAATATGATAAAAATGGTGAAACCCTCGACTTTGGGATATATTCTGTCTACCCAGGTATTTGTGCATCGCGATTGCGGGAGAACAGTCGCGATCGCGTAGAAGAAATTTTAAGGCTGCCCAGGTTGCTCATCGCGAACGCGATGATGAGCTCGCGAACACGGAGAAGAGAAATGCGAGGCTTCGCGATTGCGTAAGGAGAGACGCGAACGCGAAGAAGAAGAATGCAGAGCTTCGCGAACGTGAAGGGGACGATGCGAACGCGAAGAAGGATTTTCGAGGTGGTCAGCAGCAATGCATCGCGAACGCGAGAGGCTTTTCGCGATCGCGATGAAGGATATCAGAAGCAGCAAACAGCAGTTCCCAAATGGGGAAAAATGATCCGTAGCCCATCCGAAACACACCCGAGGCTCCCGGGACCCCGTCTAATCACACAAACAAGTCACATAACCTAACACGGACTCGCTCGAGGTCTCAAATCACACAAAACAACACCGAAACGACGAATCAAACCATAAATTGAACTTGTGAACTTTCAAATCTTCAAATTTCTAAACTCGAGCCGAAACCTATCAAATCAATCCGGAATGACGCCAAATTTTGCAGACACGTCCAAAATGACATAACGGAGCTGCTCCAACTCTCGGAATCGCATTCCGACCCCGATATCACAAAAGTCAACCGTGGGTCAAACTTCTTCCATTTTTTTCAACTTTCGCCGAAATGCCTCAATTTACCCTACGGACCTCCAAATCTGAATCCGGACGTGCGCCTAAGTTCAAAATTACCATACGAAGCTGTTGAGATCGTCCACGACTCATTCCGGGGCCGTTTACCCAAAAGTCCAATTCCGGTCAAATTTTCACCGTTCTAACTTCCAAAACTAGATTCCTTCTTCCAATTTGACACTAAACCATCCGTTAGCTGAGTTCCACCATGCACGCAAGTCGATTCTCATATTCTGAAGCTGTTCCAGCCCTTATGCCGCTGAACGGAGCTTAATTTCTCAAAACGACCGGTCGGATCGTTACATCCTCCCCCTCTTAAAACCAACGTTCGTCCTCGAACGTGCTAAGATTCGCCTCGAAGTCCTCAAGTCACTGAGTGCACACTTCCAACTCGAACGTGACGACACTATCTCAACTGAAATTTAGCCTTTCTAGCAATACCAATAAGCCTTAAAACCCGAATTCTCACCTTCCATCCATTTCCAAAATACCCGATTCTAAATCCATACTCGGTATCAGTCTCAACCAGCTACTTCAATTCGTGCCAACACCCACAGGGTACAACCACACAACATGACACATCAAACATAGGCCCACAATAACATTTCTGATAACAATACTTGCCTGAGATCAAATCTGCACCGGCCATAAGCCTCATATTCAATAGGAACTCTTTTCAAACCTCCACAACACTGGCGATGATACAATAACCACAAAAACCACATAACCAAACACCCGAATAACCAAATCTCAGCTAATACCAACGGGCACACACCCCACAAGCTAAAACTCAAAAAGCACAGAACGAAAATGACTGAATATGGGAAGGGAAACACATAAGGGAACTATCAAACAAGTCAGACAAGCACAAATTTTCTATCAATGCTAATCTACAAAACAATCTAACGAGAAAGAATTAAAGCATATAAAAAGAATCACAAGGATCTTATACTGATATAACTCTCGTCGCGGTACACAGCCCGATCTCAACCCATCAATTCACATGAAATCACGAGGGTCCCGCCCTCAACTCTGAATCACACGTAGGGTACACATCAAGCCATCTAAAAACTCTCACTAGATCAATTCCGTCGACTAAATTACAACACGGGCTGGCTCCCACACTGGTGGAGCATAAGAAATCAGAGCTCGCAACCAAGAATACTCAGAAATCACATCAAACCTACCGAAACGGACAACATGAATTTTACTACTAGTCTCATAACTCCCAACAACGGCTAGAAACAGAAGATAGGCACTCCTATCACTCATAGAACCTCCCAACAGGATAATCACATAAACAGAGTGCAAATTATGAAACGCACCCATAAATGGAGCAACAAATAAGGGACCTCACCCCGATAAGCAGAACTGTAATGAACTACAGATAGTGCCCCTCTATAACAAACCGAATTCATACCTGAATGACGTTCAGCTGGCACGCCGGCCTCAAGCTTACTATATGAAACACATTAACGAGCCGGGCCTCCCCGTCTTGGGCGCCCTCTACTCGCCTGAATACCTCGCTGTGACACATTGGTCCGAAGTCTGGGATAATCTCTCACTATATGGCTAGTATCTCCACACTCAAAGCACCCTCTCTGCTGACGAGGCGATGGGAACTGTGCGGTACGGGTACTCCGAGACCCATGAACACCTGAGTCACCATGCAAAGCCTGAAGCGCGAACTAAACTGGCTGACCCACAAAACCTCTACCATGACGCACCCTGCCTCCAAAATAAGGACCAGCATATCTCCCCGGTCTACGAGGTCTCCTCGCCTCCTCAAACTCTCTCTCCTGATCTCGTCTGCCCTCTCTCTCATGACCCCGCCTGTCCTCTCTCTCCCTAGCATGCATACCCTTTATCCTCCTAGCAATGCTCACCACCTGCTGATAAGAAATATCCATCTCCAACTCACGAGCCATGCTAGACCTGATGCTGGGAATAAGTCCCTCAATAAACCGGTGAACCTTCTCACGAACAGTAGAAACCAAGGCTGGGGCATGTCTAGCCAGGCTGGTGTAACGGACAACATACTCCGAGACGGTCAAAGTACCCTGGCGCAAATGCTCAAACTCAGCGCGCCATGCGTCCCTGAGGCTCTGAGGGACAAACTCTCACAGGAACATATCTGAAAACTGGATCCAAGTCACTAAAGTAGCCTCGTCCGGACTGTCTAACTCATAAGCACGCCACCACTGATAGGTGGCTCCTCGAAGCTAGAAGGCGGTGAAAGAAACCCCACTCGATTTTGATATACCCATGGTACATAGAATGCGGTAACACTCATCTAGAAATCCCAGAGCATCCTCTGATGCTAGACCACTGAATACAGGAGGCTTGTACCTCTTGAACCTCTCAAGCCTCAGTTGCTCCTCCTCGGAAGCTGCTGCCCTGCCCTCGAGCTGATCTCGGACTGCAGGCTGCACAGGATAATCTCAGGGACCTTCTCAACATGCACTCGCTGCTCAGGAGTGCGGGCGGCGGGAGTTTGCGCTCCTCCCCCGGCCTGGGATATGGTTGCAGCAAGGGGAAACAGCCCCGTTTGAGCCAAAGTGGTGTACATGCTCATGAACTGTGCCAAAGTCTCCTGAAAGGCTGGAGTAGTAGTAGCAGTAGGCGTGTCAGGTGCCTGGACTTCGGCTGGATCTGCTGGTGGTGCCTCGACGGCAACTCGCGCAAGTGCTCTCGCTGCACCACGTGCGCGTCCTCGGCCTCTATCTCGCCCCCGGCCTCTGACGGATGCACTAGGGGACGCGGGTGCCTGATCATCTCGGTTAGTACGTGTCCTCACCATCTGTGAGAGAGTAGAAGACAGAGGTTTAGGATTGTGATGTTAAAAATCTCGCACGACAGGGAAATCAAATGAAGTGGAATTTTCCTAACGGTTACAAAGCCTCTCGCAGATAAGTACAGATGTCTCCGTACCGATCCACGAGACTCTAATAAAACGGTTTGTGATTCGTGACTCCTATGAACCTAGAGCTCTAATACCAACTTGTCACGACCCCGGCTCGCCCTCCGTGAACCATCGTGACGGCACCTAGTCTCTACGACTAGGTAAGCCTAACAATGCAGAATATAACAATGATTGCGGAAGAAATAATTTAAAACCGAAATAGTAAAATAAGTCAGTGTTTAAGGTGCCGCTCGGCACATACAATAACAACTCTCGAAGCTAACAAAATTCCCAAAACCCGGAATCTCACAAATCACAAGCTATGAGATACATAAGAAGCTCTAACTCCGGAAATATCTAAACAAGGGATAATACTGAAAGGGCTATACTTATTACAGAAGATAGAAAGGGACTCCTCGGTCTGCGGACGTAGCAGATATACACTACCAGAAATTTAGCCTATCACAACGCCAACCAAACCGTTGCAATAGATAAGAAAGCCGTTGCAGTATCCCTATTGTAACGGTTCTGGGCCCGTCACATCAGCTCGCGTGCCAATAGGGCTATTGTAACGGTTTCATGCAACGGTTGTACAACCGTTGCAATAGAGTATGCAACGATTTTAAACCGTTACCATATGTCTAACTATTGCAACGGTTATTTATTCAAGTGTGACGGTTGAAAACATTGCAATAGCATTTTATGCAACGACTATTTGTGGCTACTCCAACGGTTTGAATACATATCGCAACAGTTTGTATGCATAGCACAAAGGTTGCGTAGCTATTGAAATAGTTATTTAGTGCTTGTGCAACGGTTTTTTTAAGGTTATTGCAACAATTAATGAAATTTATGGCAACTGTATAATAAAGTAAGATGAATTGATTACCTATATGATCACCAACGGAAACTAGTATTAATCAACAAAATTATATTCCAAAATATATATACAACTATTATTCACATATAAAAGCAAAATATACAATACTGTTTAACAATTTAAGAGTTTACAGAAGTTTGAAAAAAGTTTCAAATAAAAGATTCATAGAACATGCAAGAGTCTAGCACCGATCAACCAAATCTTAAGTATCTTTACTGCTTTTGTCTTCTGCTTGTTTATTTGATCAACCTTCAAAATATGATAACTAAATATTAGAAAACCTTGAGCAAATATAACTGTACAATTATAGACTCAGATAAGAACTAAAATGAGCAGTAGAAGATCCAAAAATAATGACATACTGAATTTCTTTAAAAATTATAACAGTACATGAACGAAGTTCCTGATAGATCAATGAAATAGAAAATGTGATACAACAAATATTAGAAATTGGGATAAAAGGTTCATTATATTGTAACTGTTATATTTACAAGAGCCAAACCACTCTATCGCCATTCTTGATGGACATAGAACCATTCAACTCAGAGAAGCTCAAGTACTATCAGTTAACTAACTTTTTTATTTTTACTATTAATTAACTAATTTTTTTGTTATTATCAGTTAACTATTAAGCCACACATCAATAAAAGTCTTCAGAATAGTTCTTAAAATGACATCAATCTCCAACTTAAGAAACAACCGAAGTACCAAGTTCACTAGTATATAAAAAGGGCATTACACCAGAAAAACTGACCAACTATGAAGCATAAAAAATAATAGATCAAAAGAGCTTAACATTTTTGGATGACAAAGGTAGGTGTCTAGGTGATAATGGATAAAAGTTTTGGCACAGGGTACATAAAGCTCACTAGCTTTTAAGACATAATGAATTCTACAAATTGTAGATAGGGAAGATGGGAAGATGCCATATTTTACTTACTTGGGTAGTTCTAGGTGATAATGGGATTTCACATTATAATTTCCTTGCTTCTTTATATCTGAAGTAAAAATTTTAGTATTCTTAAATCCTACCATACCAGTCACCTTTTCATATATGTGTGCTTAGGCAAAATATTGCCATACTAAATAATATACAATCCAACAGAAGAGATTAAAAAAATGAAGAAGAACTACCCAAGTAAGTTAAATATGGCATTAAGTAATAGTATAACAGAGAAACTAATCGAGGAGACAAAGGAAAATGTCCTACCACTACCACAGATGACATATCCAGCTTATGACAAGATGAACAATACGCCTTAGGTTTTTGTTGAATAAAGTATAGTGAACCATACCTTCAGTTGTAAGATTAAACTCTTTGACAGAAGCTGCTAAAAAAACCGCTTTCCAGTGTGTTCCAGTTGCACCAGCAACAAATAATTTCTTCTTTTGACTGACATTCACTTCCTCCTTCCCTTCATTTTCACTTCATTCTTTTAGTAATCAACCAAATCAGATACCAAAATAACAAAGAAAACCCACAAATTGCAGAAGTACATTTTTCCCGCTAGCATATCTTGAAATAGGACTAAATAAAACTTAAGAGAGAAAAAATACAGCAGCCCAATTTTGTCCTCGGTAGATCTCATAATCAAAATCTACCAACAACAACAACAACCCAGTATAATCCCACTAATGGGGTCTGGAGAGGGTAGTGTGTAGGCAGACCTTACCCCTACCCCCTACCCTGGGTTAGAGAAGTTGTTTCCAAATAGACCCTCGGCATCCTTCCCTCCAAGAACTTCCCACCTTGCTCTTGGGGAGACTCGAACTCACAACCTCTTGGTTGGAAGTGGAGGTTGTTTACCGTCAGAGCAACCCCTCTTGTCTACTTTCATACAAGATCAAATATGTGAATTTTCAAATTTGAAAAACTATGTGATGTTTCCAGGAGAGTACATCTAATATTTAACAATGTCTGACCTTATAAACAAGATCACATTGTAAACACTAGATTCATGTTTCCTTCTGCATTAACGTTACTAGAATGATCATATCATGTTTTTTCATCGACAGAATACCATACACATATGCTTAATTGCTTATAATAAATGTTCTTTTATTGACAGAAGGGCCTGCAACAACACCCTAACCAGCCACAATGTACATGAATTGACAGTTTGAAAGTCTCTGAGATCCCTACCGGTGATCCCAACCAGCAGTTGCAGCAATTTTCCCGTCTGGCCGGATTGAGGTTCCAGCTATTCCAGGTCTCTCCAAAACAATTTCTTCTGATCAAACAAGAGCCCTAAAAAGTAGAAAAATTACATTCAGCAGATAATAAACCTGCAAATACAAAAGAAAGCTTTGTAAAAATGAAGCCACCATTTGCAAGGTCCATAACTAATAACTACTGCAGCTACTGCAAACTGCAGAAATATGTTCACTAAGTGTGAACGATATCTTTCCTTGGGTTGATAGTATATGCTGCAACAGGGAAACTACAAATATTAACAGATCTAACACAATATCACAAAGGATAACCAGCTCCAGACAATTGACCAACTTATCAATGCATGTGGATAATGAGGTTCAAACATCAGAACCAAATTGTCCTCGCGACATTAAGGCATGCACATTCGAAAATTAGTTTCAAATCAGTACTACGAAGACACTTGGAAACATTTTCTTGCTATAGCAGAAGAGTTTATGTGAAAAATACATGCACATCAACAGCACCATCCAACAATAGCATATCTTGCAACTAGAAAAAGTTGGAGAAGCAAGGAAATGATAATGTGAAATCCCATTTTCTTCTTTTGACTGATATTCACTTCCTCCTTCCCTCCATTTTCACTTCAATAGCACCATCCAACAATAACATTTTCTTCTTTTGACTGATATTCACTTCCTCCTTCCCTTCATTTTCACTTCATTCTTTCAGTAATCAACCAAATCAGATACAAAAATAACAAAGAAAACCCACAAATTGCACAAGTACATTTTCCCCCTTAGCATATCTTGAAATAGGACTAAATAAAACTTAAGAGAGAAAAAATACAGCAGCCCAATTTTGAAAATTAGAAACCCTACAAAATCAAACTCCCCTTTTCCAAATTAGAAATCATAATCACAAAATTTATCGGCATAATGCAAAGAAAAAGAGAAACAGAAGCACGAAACTTCTAAACAAGAATAACAAATTTATGACAAAAAAGTTACCTCCTGTTCCAACTCCAAAATCCTCAAGCTCAGTCATAGATGAGAGAAAGCAAGAACAACGAATAGAGGGAGATGGTGGAGGGGAAACCTATGCCAGAGGGGAAGTCTACGCCGGAGGTCGCCTTGCCTTCGCCGCAGTGATAGTGTCGACACAGTCGATGCTGGCAGTGCGAGAAATGTTTTAGGGCAAGGGGTTTTAGACTTTTATGTGTTTTTAAGACTTAGAAAAACCAAAAAAACTATTTAAAAAATAGGTCGTGGCAGTGTATTTTATTGATGACCCTTTTTTTTGGCCAGGGGAGGGGGAGTAAGAACCGTCTCAATAGCCCTTATTTTGCATAACCGTTGCAACAAGGTCACCTTTGCAACGGTTTATAAAACCGTGGCAATAGAACATTCTATCGCATCGGTTATTTTACTACTGCAATGCTTTGTTATTAGAATTGTTCCTATAGACCCATAAGGCTTATGCAACGGTTATAACCGTCGCAATAGAGGGTCTGTTGCAACGGTTTTATAACCGTTGCTAGAAAACTGTTGCGATAGACCTAATTCCTGGTAGTGATACCTCGAAGTCTCTACAGAAATGCCTCCTCCCAAGGATGATAGAACTGAGTGGAAAATACCTGGATCTGCACAACAAAAATGTGCAGAAGAGTACATGAGCACACCACAGCGGTGCCCAGTAAGTATCAAGACTAACCTCGGTGGAGTAGTGACGAGGAACAGTTGAGACACCTACCGGTCTAATAAACAGTGCAATGATAGGAACAACGGAACATGATATATATTTATATAAAGACTGTACGAAATGACCAACAATGCTACAATCACAATAAGGGAAGAGAACAGCAAGTAACAACAAAAATATTAAGAATGATGACATATAAGAAAGGGAAAAACTCATCCCAAACCCTAAAGTCACAATACAGTAAAGGAAAACAAAACAATAACTCAGATCCTACGACAGTGTTCACATCAGGTCTTATCCAACAAGTTCCACGAGTTACCGAATCTCGGACAAATTACAACTCACGAGTCCCAGTACCTGAAATCTAACACTTGACATCCTGTGCCCCATCAGTCTCACGGTCATACTAACAACTCACTTGCTAACTAGGGCCACTCTCACATATATAATGAATAACGAGGGCGTACATCTATATTTAACAAATCAGGAGGACTTCACATCCAATAGGAGTGTTCAACTACATGTATGCTTGCGCAAGTGCTTTAACATAATTTCTACCAGCTAATAAGCGTAAGAAGAAGAACAGACAGCACGTACGATGTTTCCTCACAACTCCCACAAGATAAAGCTCATACAGGTAAGCGTACCATAATCACAAAATTTAAACAAATAGAAATGCCCTCAGGCCATCACAAATACTCATAATAGACCCCTGACATAGCCCACCTTGTTCTGCAACGTGTGTAAATAATAACATAAAAGGTGCCCCGCCTTGTTTCGCCACACGTGCATCATAATGTTACCACCTTGTCTCTTCACATGCGCAACCCACATATAAGCATATATATACATATCCTGCCTTGTTACGCCGCATGTGCAATATATCAATAGTAGCAATAGCACGGCAGAAACCTCGTGCGACCCCACAACAACAACCGCACGGCAGAAACCTCATGCATCACACTATCAATAACCGCACGGCAGAAACCTCCTGCATCAACACCCCAAATGCAACAGCAACAACGACAATATATACAAGAGCACGAAAAATGAATCAACTCAAGAACTTTTGTTCACCAGGGGTCGGTAAAACTAGCTCACAAGAAATAACCACAATAGAGAATACTAAGCGTAATAAGAACAACTCAACAAGGGAGAAAATAATATGAAGCAACGACCCCATAGCATGTAGATCAACAACAAGGGAGTTAACAACAGTCAAGTAAGTTTCAAAAAAGGAATATCAACTAAACATAGAATATCTACTCTTCTTTTAAGGTTGGGCATGTTACGAAGGATATACAACAATTTCAAATAAAACTAAATAATTACATGAGAGATAATAATGATTTCCAATAAAAACAAGAAGTTATGAAAGATAACGTGACAATAGAGGAGGTAAAGATCTTCAGTTAAGCAAAGTAAGAGTCAATTAGGCAATAAGAATGAACCATAAAGCAATTAGTTCCAAGTAAAACATGTAGAGGTGAAACTAGTAATAGGGAATTCAATCATATCAAGAACAACTTCATACTCAGTGAATATAAGGACCTAAGAATCTAAGTATTTTAATATAAATTTTTAAAGAGGGGCCACGGAATTTATGAATTTTGTTTGGCGTGGCGCACCTTGTTTTATTTAAAGGCTACCCTAAAGAGACTATTGTTTTCTAGTATGGAATGTCTCAAGGGCCCTAATTGATTAACAATATGGATTGCTAATATTTAAAGTAATTGAGGACTTTGGGCCTCAAGTTCAAGTCCACACTTGAACAAGAGGCAAACCTCTTAACTCAAGCATGCTACTTAACTAGAAGGCCCAAACCCTACCTTTAATTCAAAATCTCACACCCATTACTCATTAGCACAAAACAACAATATACTGTGGAAATCCAATACAGCAAACAAAATTCGGTCAACTTAACCAAAGGTTAGTAGCTCATAAATTAATAGATCAATTCAACCCAAATTTATCAAACTCGCGTTGCACCCAACTGAACAAATGAAGCTAACAGAATTCTTATAACCAATTGATTTCATCTTAATATGACCAAACGACATACTAGCGCATGATCAAACGTCCTTTAATTCAAAAAACGAAATGCACTTTCAAGTAAACCCACAACTAGACATGGAATCAAAATTCACATAGGCACAAGTACTTAATGAAATAATCATTCAAACACAATTAGAATCAAGCTAAGAAGACATGGTTGCACAGAACGCACCTTCATTATTGCCGAATTTGGAATTTTAGAACTTTGCAATTTAACAAATGGACGGAACACCACTAGCACAAATTGCTCTTCAACTAGTAAGAAGAAACTCTGATTTGTTTACAGCAACGTCAAGTTTCAGCAGCTCAAACTTGACGGAAGAAAATGGACAGGGATAACCATAGACTGGAACCAACGTACGACAACCTCCATACGGCTCAAACTCACAAATGACTCCAGACTTCAGTTAAACATCCATGTTTCCGAAACTAAGAATCAAATCAAGGACGAAGAAGACGAAACATTTTTGTACTATTTTTTCGACTTTCTGAAATCCCAAACTCGACTACGCTCGTTCCCTTACTCTGTTCCTGTGCGTGACTGTGTGTGTGCTTGATCTGATGGGGTTTGCTGGTTTTTCGGCATGTTTTGTGATGAGGGAGCAGCTGGCGACGGTGAGTAGGGGTGTGTGTTCAACGGTTGGTCGTGAATGGTCGACCAGACCCACCGGTGGTTATGGAGTTCGACCTTCTGCTTCGGAGATGGTCATAAAGATGTGGCTATGGAGGAATTGAGGGTGGTTCTTTGGCGTGGAGGGGTCTGTTGGTGTTTTGGTCGATGAAGAGAGCAGGGGTCGTTTGGGGTGTTTTCCGGCGGGGTGTTCTCGGATGGGGGGTGACGAAGGAGATGATGTCGCAGGGGGTGGGGTCTCGTTACTGGAGCAGCTTCTTCTGTGCATTTTTTTTGTGTATATTTCTCGCCTGCTGAAGGAAATCAAAACGAGGGGGGGTGCTTGGGGAGAAGACGAGATACAGGGGGGTGAGGTCATGAATTGTAGCTGCTCCTTTTTGTGCCGAAAAAATGTCCCCCCTTTAAGTTAGGTCTCTAGGTTTATTTATGAAGAAGGATTTGGGTGTTGGGTCGGGTCGGGTCGACCCGGTTTGGGTTGGGTTGGGGGAAAAATTTGGGCTTCTAAAATGTGTGGCCCAATTTAATTTAAAACCAGCTTTTTTTTTTCTCAATTTCTATTTCTTTTATTTTCTTTTATCTCTTTAATTAATTAAAAACCTAAATTAAATTCCTAAATGAATTCAAATTATAAAATTAAGCTAATTACCTGACCATAATATTTATAAAAATTAGATCCCAAATTTAAAGAGAAAACTTAATAATCCAAAATTAAAAGCTAGGAATGTAAAAATGAGCCATTTTTGTAATTTTCATTTTTAATAAAGCAATTAATTAATTATCTAATCCTAAAATGTGAACACAAACTCTAAATCCAATGCATGGTATTTTTGGTATTTTTTGATTTTCAATGGAAATTAAATATGCACAAAAATGCAAATAATTAACAAAAATCCTACGAAAATTCCTATAAAATTGCAAAAAATTGGGAAAATTACTTTCTGATATTTTATGGGAGTAATTCATATAGGGCAAAATACACGTGCTCACAGCTGCCCTCCTTTGCTCGGAACACGAAGAG